ACGGTCCACCCACCTGTGTCAGAAACCCACCCCTATGAGGTGCTAGACCCTGCCAGCATGCCCCCAGGTTTGGGCTACGCTTGCAAGATGTTGGATGGTGTTGTTCATGTGTACACGCAGAAGTAAGACTTCTTCCTGTTTACCCACTGACCATGTAAACATTATCAACAGTGACACATAATTTAAATATTTTTGTTTCGCTTGAAAGAATCCTTGGAATGTGGTGGTAGTTGTACTTTTTTATTTAACATTTTGTCATTCTTTTCTTTCTTTTTTTAATATCTTCTTTCATAATGTCCATCAGTTCCTCAGAGCTAGACTTGCCGTACCCAGACCTGCAGGAATACATAGCTGATATGAACATGATGATGGCGCTCATCATTAACGGGCCAGTGTAAGTTGTCCTAAACACTGTGAGGTTTGTTTCCATTCTGATGCAGCAGAGTCAGGAAAAGATGATCAAATTACTGATTGAAACCGCTCATTCTGTAAATGTGAGCTGATCCCTGAGGGCGCTCCTATGCTTGATTGATTTAAGCACTGACCTCAGTTTGAACCTGTGGATGAAATGTAAAAATAAAGCCATCCTCACTGAGATAAAGGTGTGTAATTAATTTGTAATCTGAATAATGTCACGAAGATGAAGAAGTGGAAAAGTCTGATTAAATCTGACCCCAAAAATAGCCAGAAATCGTCTGATCTGCCTTATGTTTGGCATTTGGATTCCTGATTGCATATTTTTCAAACAGGAAATCTTTCTGCTATCGCCGGCTGCAGTACCTCAGCTCCAAGTTCCAGATGCACATTCTCTTAAATGAGATGAAAGAGTTGGCAGCACAGAAGAAAGTCCCTCACCGTGATTTCTACAACATCAGGAAGGTCTGCTGTCCACACAAATATTTTGTTACATTTATTAGTGGTTGTTTGATTATTTGATCAATCACTATTGAACTTTGACATCTTGACTTTCAGGTGGACACACACATCCATGCCTCATCCTGTATGAATCAGAAGCACCTGCTGCGCTTCATTAAAAGAGCCATGAAGAAATATCCAGGTGAAATCGTGCATGTAGAACAAAGCCGAGGACAGACTCTATTAGAGGTGTTTGAGAGCATGAACCTGACGGCCTTTGACCTCAGCGTAGACACTCTGGATATGCATGCGGTAAGAACTGTAGAGGTAGTACTCCTACCATCACCAGCAATTAGACATAATAATAATAA